AATTTTAATTGATTTTTTTTTTTTTTGTTTCCAATTTTTTTGGGGGAGAATGTATTTTAATCGATTTCGAAAGACATATGATTACAGTTTTGCAATGTTGCCAAAATATTCAACAAATTTGCATCATAGTAGTTGATTGTTGAGGCTCTGCAAGTGCAACCCAGATACTTAGGTACAATTTCCACCATTTCCGAAGAGTATTTACCGAAGGAAAAAGAAAACGGTATGCTACATAACCAGAATGATTTACTATTTGGATTACTTGCAATACACTTGACAAACATTCATTAAAATTCTCATTATAAGTATTATTAAAAAGCACCAATTTAGCCTTTCACAGCACATAATTTGCTAAACCAATCTAACAAAATAGATGAACTCAATAATAAATAATAATAAGCTGGACCACTTGCAAATTTTTTGTTTGACATCTTTAGGCTCTTGTACATACTAATGGACCACTTTTCATTTTATGAGCTGAGATTCTCTTCTATCATTCCCGTTGACAATCCAAAAATAGATTACATAATAGTTAGTACAATAATATAATATTCAATGATGGAAAATTGTTTTGTCCTAATTTCCACTCCCAACCTTTTCTTCTCGACCAAATTTATTATGTTTTTCACCATGCCCATACTGTCAGCAAATTGGTCGGCATTCTCAAACAGATATTCGATTTTTCCATTTCTCCAACATTTGTCTCTCCAAATAGTCTTAATTCCTAAAAAGGATTGAACAACTTCGTTCAAAACCCAATCAGATCTGTAAACTTACTTGATTTTTGGAAACCGCATTCGCGAGTTTGCGGTGCGGAGGGAGTTCCAAAGTGAGGGCAGACGGAGTATTCCCAATTTCGTGTACTCGATCTTCTCGGAGTCCTACAATTCCTTAATAGATTGAGCATTTCCTCACAATGATAAAACCTTACACAACACTGTGGTGGGGAGAAACGAACTTGTGAATGCAATGGAGTAGTTTGCAAAATCAAAGAAGTCTACATAATGGACTCACTCCATATGTTTGGAAACAAGTACTGACTTGATAGTAAATAGGTGCTCATCTTTTATTTTTCCAAACATATGAAATGAGTCCATTATGTAGACTTATTTGATTTTGCAAACCACTCCACCGCATTCACGAGTTCGTTTCTCCCCACCACGGTGTTGTCTAAGGTTTTATCATTGTGAGGAAATGCTACAATATTAAGGAATTGTAGGACTCCGAGGCGCTCGAGTACACGAAATTGGAAATACTCCGTCCGCCCTCACTTTGGAACTCCCTCCACACGGCAAACTCGCAAATGCGGTTTGCAAAAATCAAGTAAGTTTACAGATCTGATTGGGTTTTGAACGAAGTTGTTCAATCCTCCTTTTCAGGAATTAAGACTATTTGGAGAGACAAATGTCTGGATAAATGGAAAAATCTAACCATCTGTTTGAGATGCGGACCAAGTTGCTGACAGTATGGGCATAGTGAAAAACATATAATTTTGGTCAATTGTGGGAGGAAAGGTTGGTCAATTAGGACAAAAAGTATGAAGAATTTCTCATCATTGAATATTATATAATTGTACTAATCTATAGTTGGATTGTCAACGGGAGAATGTGACACTTTCATATTCTTCAAAACAATGATAGAAGAGAATCTTAGTTCATAAAATCAAAACACAAACACACCAATAATACATAGAAAAACAATTGCGATTGAGAAATGAGGTGAAAGAAAGTTTCTACAAAAACGATGCAAAGTGGCCCATTAGTATGTCCAAGAGTCTAAAAATATGAAATAAAAAATGTGGGAATGGTTAATATCTTAAATGGGTATGACATTGGGTAGCATTATTATAATAAGTTTCGGGTATTTAATATTCACTTACATTACATTCATCTTTCTAGAGTGCCCAAACACACTTGCAATTTCTGAAATTGCCATCATACACATTTTGTTTTTATCAATTTAAGAACATCAATATTTGGCAGAGGACTTGAGATCACAAGGAAAATGCACATACATGTATTTGAAGGGCACATCCGTTTACTATGCATGTTTTACAGAAGTGTCTGTAGCTTCTGTACGAACTATTAAAAGTGATCATTCTATTTTATACGTATCTAAACAAAAGACTATAGTCATCTTCATAACCTAGTTGATAAAAAATAAAATTCACATGATATACCTCTATTTTGATAATTTTGAAACTGTCTGAAGCAGCAACATTTCGTTCAGTACCTGTAGATTTCAATTGGTTTTGCATCAATATTCTTTTTGTTCTGGTCTACATTATTCTGCAGATGCAAGAATCTGAATCGTCCTCCTCTGAGTCGCTAACATCACTGAAACCCACAAAAGATGGAACGATTTGTAAGAGGATGATAACAAGTCCAACTACTTCATGTGTTTGTTGCAAACAATTTCTCACCAACTCAAGTAACTTATACTCATACCATGCTTCAGTACAAAATAAACATAAACAGGGAAATCTTCACAACATTATCAAATAATAACCTTTATGTATCCTACGAGTAAACAACAATTGAAGCATGGATAATCATTGAAACACAACAGATGGAAATCTTCTTTGCTCTTTTTAATGGAAGTAAACTGTGTGGGTTTATAAAATCATAACTGCACAATATTGATGTGAAGAAAAATTCATTTCTCTTTTTTATGATATTCACCATACACTATCTGCCACTTATTTTGTCCAAACAGGAAAATAAGTGCATGATTCATTTTCTGTATCTGTTCCGGTTTGTATCCTCGCAATTTACAAAAGCTAGTGAAAAATTGCTCCACGATCACAATGATATTAAAAAATTTAATTAATAATAGAGAAAAAAAGTTAGAGCACCCCTTTCCCATTTTCCTAAAGATATCCTCATTAAGTTTCAGAGTATTTATGAGAATGTGATTTGTGAAGATGACAATTGCTTCTAGCAAAAATCATCGATAAGTGTTACTCCAAGAAGAATTTCTTTTTGTTTTCTCTCAAGAAGTTAATACTTAGATGAAGTCAACTAATTCGTGTAAAAATCCACTGACGATGGGGAAACAAATGTTTCGGATTCCACAGTAAAAAAAAGATCACCACACAAAGCAAAAAATGGAAAATAAAAATGGGGATGTCGAACTAACCGATAGAAAATCATGGCTGGGGTTAAAAGCATCTACAGTGCTACATTTTTTTTACCAATTCATTTATTTTTTTTACTTAGTTGTTATAGTAATAGACGAAAGTGTTGAACAGAGAAAATAAAGCAAAGCAAAAATAAACTATACTGACTCAAATACAATATTTTGAAAGTTATTTCGAATTTCGATAATGAGATGTAACCATGTATCTGTGAGAAGCTTTATTAAAATAATAAGTCTAATTTCATGTATCAAAATAGGCCCTAATGGCGATCTCGTCTTTTTTTTCACATGGCACATACACCAAGTTTTATTTTTTGCTTGCGTTGGAGGGATAAAAGGTCAAGAATCCTATGTGGCACTAGACATTCTCTCAAATAGACTCGAGAACTGGAGATGCACTAATTCAATTTCTGGATCAAAATGAATTTCTTACAGTTCTCACACATCACACGCGCTGGCTGTAATCCAAAAGAGTTTATGAATAAGGTTATGTGAATCTAAGGCAAAACATAGAACATGAACTGTAGCAAGCTGAGATCTTTTAGGATGTGGGAGACTTTCATTTTACACAACCTTAACCGGATCATAAATTCATCAGAGTCCAAAATCCTAGTCTAGTTACCAACGCAATGCATGCTAATCAACAAAACGCAACATGCTTATGATAGACATTAGTAACATCCTTTATGCACCATTAGACCAGTTCATACACTGTGGGGCATTATTGTTCATAAATTTTAGGTCAGGCGAAAAAACACGTAAGCAAAATCCTAACTTCCAAACCCATAGTTGATCACAAATTCATGAAGTTTAAGCTTATGCCCTGTAACTCCGCACAAAATCTACAGTTAGCCAAATATGCCACATAACTTTAATGTGCCCCAAGCATAAAAACCTCCAAAAATTAAATGAAAAAAATATAAATATATATATTAATAAGACAAAAAGTTTCTCACAAGCAGTACACAAATCATCACTTATCGTTTTAATCCGCCTTCTTTATCCAAGAAACGATCATGGTTCTTGAGTTTAAGCACATTATATATGGACATTCTAAATTTAGTTAACCAATTCAATTCGTTAGTCCAATAAGAAAGACCATCAACCATGCAATTTTTTAGTGAAACAAATATCAAAACCTTGTACAATCGCAATAAGCACATCACAAGAACCAGATTTCGACTCCCACCAGAACCATGCTCCAGCAACATCAGCAGAACAAAAACTATATATATATATATGAATTACCTCGGTTGAAACTCCATGACTTGCTCGAGTTTGTCTCCACTGCTATCTAACCACTGAACTTTCCTCTTAGGTTTTCCGGAATTTTTCGACAAGTTACCATCTTCGGCAGCCAACAATCCTTGTGACTCGTCATCGACATCACTCTCAATCGTGACGACATTTGGGGACTCAAAACTGCTCCCACCATTATTACTCGCGTCGGCTTTCAGACATTTATGATTCATATCCATTGACAAAATCTTTTTTATCAAAAAAAGACAACAAATTTCAATTTTCCTCAACGTTCAGACATCAACAATAAAGAAGAAAGCCAAGATCTTTCAAACCCATCTGACCAAATCAAAAACTTTCCATCCCTAAACGATCAAATTCAAGGTTCTGACAATGAAACCCTCAGGAACAAATGGGTGTCCTCACAAAGCCGGAGAAGTCAACGGCGATGCTTCACCAATAGCAAAGCGTGATGTTTGTGGGGTCGAATGAATTAACAAAGAGCGTGATTCATATATGCGGAGACCCCAAATCAAGAACAAATAACAGTAAGAAGATTACGGTAAAAAAGGAAGTGTTTATTCGGATGAAAAACATAAAACCTAGAAAGATAGCATCAAGATTGCAATCTATACAGCCCAGAGAGAAGGAAAACCCTTGAAAATTGATGCAAGATTTGATCTGAAGAGGATAGAACAATTAGACAAGGTGTTCACTTTTCCCCGTTTCTCGTAATGTTTTCAAACCGGCCAGGTAATTGACCTATTCAAAAATTCTACAATCGTCCGAATTGTTTTCTTATGGAGCCATCAATGTATTGACATCTGTTTAAATTGTATTTATTGTAAGACACGTGTCAATACACTATTGGTGAATAACTGTGGATTGCTTCATAAGTCGAGTCATCCGATGACTCCATAGAAAAATTGTTGACCTATAATCCTATCAATCAGTCAAATGAATCAGATAATTAATTAGAGGTTGACATATTAAGGATATTTATTGAGTCTTATATAATATTAAAAGTATAAGTTAGATAATACTATCACATTTAAAATTTTTGTCATTAGTAAAAATAAACCCTTTGACCGGCAGATTGCATTTGTTGTTTTGACCAACTGATTGTGCTAGCGGTTTGTAAAATAGTGTTTGGTAAAATTTGTTATTTTTAATTAGCTATTAACATGTACAATTACTTATAATGACATATATTGAAGCTATAATTAATTAGTAACTAAAAATAAATAATACTTTAATTTAAATAATTAAAGTGATTTAAATTATAATAAAACTATAAACAATAATAAAATAAAATATTTCTTAATCGAGTAGATAAGTTCACGTCATATAATCAAAGTCATGTAATTATTACAAAAATATGAATTTATTCTGAATAAATATAAATATTAGTTCAACTAAAAAGAGTAATAATTATTGATGATAAGAACAATTACACACTTAAATTTTTCACGTAGTAATTTTTAATATTTACTGATACATTGATTAAATTTAGTGTAATCTACTGCCAACAAAAATATGAGCAAGAAGTATTAAATTATTTTTTTTTTTAAAAAAAGTGTGTGGAAGAGAATTAAAAATTAGTCAACACAATTAAAAAAATATGACCAAAAAAAAATTCAATAAAGAGCTAGCGCTTTAAATGGTGCACTGGTGTCATGCTAATAAGATTATTTAATAGGAAAGTAAAATGCTGAAAGCAAAACGCTGCTAATCACAGCGTTTCAATTTTTGGCGTTTTGAGCACATTAGAGCATCTCCAAAAGACTTCTTATTTTAGACTTGTTATTTGGAGAAATAAGGAGTCATCCTATATCCATTTGCTTCCTATTTTCTGTTGTTCTCCAAGAGTCTCCCTATTTTATAATTTGAATATGAACCAGGCCCACAAATCTATCTAAAAGCCCACTTGAAGCCCACTTGATATTGTAATTGTTAACGATTATAATAGTAATTAACTAATTTTATAATATTCACTAATTTTTTTAATTATTATAATTAGTAATTTATTATTAATTATTTTTTATAATTTTTCCTTTATTAATATAATATTATTTCTTTTTAGATTATTATTATTATTATACTAATTGTTATTATAATTTATTAATTTTTAATCAAATAAATTATTTTTTTGAACAATTTTTATTTTTTTAATTTTTTAATTTTAATTATTATTATTAGTAATTTATTATTAATTATTTGTTATATTTTTTCATGTATTAATATAATATTATTTCTTTTTAATTATTATTATTATTATTATTATTTGAAATGGGGGGTCGTTTTTCCCTCCCCATAAATGAGGAAGAGAAGCCTCTATTTGAGGTCACCCTAAAAATAAGACCAAGTTTAGGGAAACTGTTGGAGACAGTTTTTGAGAGAAAATCCTTATTTTTGAGATAAAAAAGAGAAATATGGGGGCTATTGGAGATGCTCTTAGCTAATCTCAAAAGCTATTTTCCCAAAAAAAAAAAAAGTCAACTTTAGATTAAAAACGGTCAATACCGCTAAAATAGCATTTTGACAAAAAAGTTGAAAAACAAACGGGGCCAACCAGGGGCGAAGCCAGCCTCAAATTTCACCGGGGTCGGCAATATTTTTTAGCGGGGTCATTAACTTAGTAAACAATGTTTGAACAGTATTTTATACTAAAAATTTTGAAATCCATAGGGGTCAGCGGACCCCAGCCACAAGGTGTGGCTCCGCCACTGGGGCCAACATGAAACGGATAAGGTAGATTTTATAATTTGAAATATCATGACCTGTTAATTATCTTGAAATGTATTATTATTATTATTATTATTATTATTATTATTATTATTATTATTATTATTATTATTATTATTATTAAAATT